ATTTCGTTCATCTCTCTTTAGTGAGTGTGAGTCGTTCATTTGAACGATACGGTTACCGACCGGCCTCGAAGCTGACGAGAGTACTGTGTTGTGTGTTGCCTATAGTAAACTCACTGAGTCTGATACCCTCTCCAGACTCGCGCTCGGATCACGGCGTGAAATCGCGGCGCGGATCTCGAAATTTGTTCCTTCAGTTCCACACTCGCAGATGCTTCACAGTATAGTTCGCGCTCTTGACAAGTATGGACTTTGAAATTACGAGGGATGTCTTTTAAGTTTTGCTTATAGAAACATAGTAGGCCGTGCGGATCGAACGTCAGTACTGAATCTTAACCTCACTCTTTAGTAAACTTAAATTCAAAGTTTCACAACAGTACGTGGAGTGGTCTCACTACAGTGAATTTTTAAGTTTCACCAAGTCATTAGAAAAATGGAACTCAACCGATAACATAATTTATTACAACTTTCAGAGACAATTATCGCAACAAGAATGCCTTGCTGAGTTACTGTCTGTTTTCGGCAACGAAGCGCCTCATCAGTCGACAATTTCCCGTTGGTATGGAGAATTCAAACGTGGACGGGTGAGTCTTAGCGACGATTCCAGGGTGACTGCACCAAAAACGGCAGTTACCCAGGAAAACGTCGATTCTGTGCGCAAACTCATCATTGAAGATAGACGTGACATATCGCGAGATTGAGGCGTCCTTGAAGATCTCAAAGACCTCAATTAAAAAAAAAATTACATGAAGAATTAGGAGTAAGAAAATTTGTTTCTCGTTGGATACCTGTTGACTGAAGAGCAGAAATCAGCAAGGGTTAATTGGTGTCAAGAAACGATTTACTGTTATGAACCAGAAAATAAACCAAGACAATGCAAGCTCGCACACAGGCCAAAAAACTAGGCAGTATTTAACGGAAGAAAACGTGGAATTATTGGACCATCCTTCATATATATAGTCCTAACGATTTGTTTACTTTCCCTAAAATTAAAAACAGACTGCGTGGTCAAAAGCTCGTCGCCAGAAGAAGCAGTTAACGCATTCAAAAATGCCGTTTTGGATCTGCCAGCAAACGAGTGGAATAAGTGCTTCGAAAATTGGTTCGAGCGCATGTAGATATATATATTAATCTTCGTGGAGATTACTTTGAAAAACAATAAAGTCATTTAAAACTACCTACCGTGTTGTTTTATTTCGATATGCAAAACTTAAAAGACATATCTCGTACTACTTTTGCTGCAGGGCTACTTTGCGCTTTGGCAATTTAGAATTACGCGTTATAAGTAAAACTAAAGCAATTGAAAAGAAGTGGAAAAAAACACGACTATTCCCGGCAGCATTTTAACACTATGGCATAGGATTCGGCACCAGCCTTAATTTTATTGTCAATTTCAATTTATTTAACCAATAACAAGCTGGGTGCCGAAATCACTACCGGAATGTTAAACAGTGCTGAAAACAGTGTCAGAATGTTATCAAGAAACTGCTTCTACTAATATATATATATATATATATATATATATATATAAATATAACTTGAGACGTGGTCATTGTCGTCTAGACCAGTTAGGTAAAAAATTAAAGCTTCCGCCTTTTGTTGGGTACTACTAAATTTAAGCAAGGAGGACTCTTTATATTTTTTTTATTCTCTCTAGCTTTCAATGGTCTTTGCCATCATCATCCGGAGAGTAGTATATGAGGATGTTGTTAATTGTTGTTTACGTTAAGGATGAGGGAAACACCCAGTAACATGGTGAAAGCTGGATAAATGGTACAATGGTCAAAATTATATAAAATACACACAGCTGTATGACAAGAACAAGTTAAAAACAGATTAAAAAATGTTCTTGTCATACAGATGTGTGTATTTTATATAATTTTGACCATTGTACCATTTATCCAGCTTTCACCATGTTACTGGGTGTTTCCCTCATCCTTAACGTAAACAACAATTAGCAACATCCTCACATACTACTCTCCTGATGATGATGGCAAAGACCATTGAAAGCTAGAGAGAATAAAAAAAGTATAAAGAGTCCTCCTTGCTTAAATTTTGTCGAAGTACCCAACAAAAGGCGGAAGCTTTAATTTTTCACCTAAATATATATAAATTTTTCATGTAATTTTTCTTATTGCTAAACCAACTTATTAATTTTAAAATCATTAAATATCGTAATAGGAAACAACGTGCGTTGATTATTATCTTACATATTTTTAGCGGAAGGTAAGTAAATTTAAATTTAAATTGATAACATTCTGACCCCATGCTCAGCACTGTTTAACATTCCGGTAGTGATTTCGGCACCCGGCTTGTTATTGGTTGAATAAATTGAAATTGACCAATAAAATTAAGGCTGGTGCCGAATCCTATACCATAGTGTTAAAATGCTTCCCGGCACTCGCTAAGAGGCAACTGAAACACCAGCGAATGAGGAGCCTGGTCATGTTCGCGCCTTGCGAACCCTTTGTCGCGGGACGAAAAACCGACAACAAACGTGAACAACGCGCGAACACGACATGAAGCCGCGAAGCATACGCGAATGAGATCCACACTCATGGATCGCGGCTTCACGCGTGAGTCTGGAGAGGGCATGAGACATACGACTCCTTTCTCTGAGTTCGTTCACTTCGCTCATCTCTCTTTAGTGAGTCGTTCGTTCGGAGTCGTTCATTTGAACGATACGATTACCGACCGACCTCGAAGCTGCCGAGAGTATTGTGTTGCCTATAGTAACGACTCACGGAGACAGAGAATAAACAACATACTATGAAAATGAAATGAAGAGTAGGGGTTGCCAATGTTATTGTATTTATTTAAGTATTAATATTTTTGGTTGAAATTTAATGAAACGAATGTATACTGTCCTCCGAAAAACGAAGGGATATGTGGTCCGGTTTTGAGGAATTACCGAATTCTGAATCAAGATGCAATTTTTGCTCTCAAATCCCATCATTTCAACATATCATTTAATGAGATGTTTCAAAACAAAACAATTGGGATCCCTAGATAGTGTCTGTACTGTTACCGCGTTGTCAGTTCGCAGTTCAGTTGCTGCATACTGCAGACATGCTTTGCACAATTGATCGAGCCATATTTAACGAAAGAGTCGTTCAATCATCGCACACTTAGATGAGTCGTTCGCGAACGACACATAACTAATGGGTGATTTTTTTGCTAGTATCTTTTTGGCAACACTGTTTTTGACAGATGACGCGTGAATCGTGTCTTGTGTCATTGTCAAACTTGTTCAGTTTGGTCTATAATTTAACCATGAATCGACTTACGAACGAACAACGCTTGCAAATTATTGAATTTTACTATCAAAATTCATGCTCGGTTAAGAGAGTGCATCGAGCACTGCTTCCAATTTATGGGCAATTTGGTCGGCCTACTGAGTGAGCTATTCGGAAGCTTGTGACTAAATTTCGAACAAAGTTTACATTATTGAACATTAAACCACCAACACGCAGACGTAGAATGAGGACTGAAGAAAATATTGCGGCTGTATCCGCCAGTGTTAGTGATGACCGTAAAATCTCGATTCGCCGCCGTTCGCAGCAATTGGGCCTCTGTTACTTCACTACGTGGAAAATTTTGCGACGGGATTTGGGTGTAAAACCTCATAAGATACAGCTGGTGCAAGAATTGAATCCACACGACCTCCCACAACAGTTCCAATTTGGTGAATGGGCAAAGTTGGAGGAAGATCCACATTTTTATCTAAAAATTGTGTTCAGCGACGAAGCTCATTTCTGGTTGAATGGGTACGTTAACAAGCAAAATTGCCGCATCTGGAGTGAAGACCAGCCAGAAGCATTGCAAGAGCTACCAATGCATCCCGAAAAAATCACTGTTTGGTGTGGATTATGGGCCGGTGGCATCATCGGGCCGTACTTCTTCAAAGACGACAATGGCCGGAACGTAACTGTGAATGGCGAGCGCTACCGTGCGATGACAACAAACTTTTTTTACCCAAAATGGAAGAACTGGACTTGGCTGATATGTGGTTTCAACAAGACGGTGCCACATGCCACACCGCACACGAAACAATGGCCCTATTGAGAGGCGAGTTCGGTGAACAGTTTATCTCACGTTTGGGGCCCGTCAATTGGCCGCCTAGAACGTGTGATTTAACGCCGTTGGACTATTTCTTGTGGGGCCATGTTAAGGCTAATGTCTACAGGGATAAACCAGCAACGATTGACGCACTGGAAGCCAATATTGAAGCATTTATTCGTGAGATACCGGCCGATATGTTGGAGAGAGTGTGCCAAAATTGGACCTTGCGCATGGGCCATCTAAAGCGGAGCCGCGGCCAACGTTTACATGAAATAATCTTTAAACATTAAATTATATCGACCGTTCTATCGACTCAAATAAAGATATAATCGTTTTTTCAATTTTTTTGTGTTTTATTTGAAAATCAAATCCTATACCTCTTAAAAAATCACCCGTTATAAAATACTAAACCAAACAAAATAATCTTTTTATGAAAAAATGGAAGAATTTTTAACCCCTCACGGAAATTTAAGTTTCTTGATCCTTGAAGATCCGTTGCCATAAACCTCGTCCCGAACCCCGACCAGCCTCCCCTTCTTTTGACTAGTCAAATTTTGTGTGACGAGTGATAACACTTCACAAAGAACCTCCATCTACAGGATTCGGCTACTCTCCACTAGATGGCGCTACATAGCGGCACAAAGCCCACCGTTTTGAATGACTACGAGGAGCTGCTGAAATCTGCAACTCTGCCAAGGAACATTATCGAAACTTCTATCAATTCTTCTAGCAATTTCTTTGGTCAATTCATGTCGACAACTAACAGCTTACAAATTGGTCACATTTAGCTTATTCGGCCTGAATCAAGGATGCTGCGCTTCGAAGCCCGTGTAAACCGGCCCTAAAATGCTGCAACATGTCGCTGTGTTTTTCTACGCGTGCGCGACCCCATCACCCGGAGCACGTCCGGAGCGTGACCATCACAGTTTGCTCCGGGGCGTCGGGACGCTTGACGACGCCGTGAGCCGTCTTCTCGCCGTCGTCTGTCACTCGAGTCGCGAAAACACCTAACAGTCCGTTTCTCCTATCAAATTAATGTAGGGAGCTTGGAAATATAGCGTCGACGTAAAGGTAAGTGACGATATCATTCGTGAGCGAGTTAAGGGACGTTTTTGGTTATATCATTTCAGAGTTGTGAATTATTAATTCATCCTGCAGTGTTTTTCTGCAACCAACACACGTTTTATTATTTCTGTCTAAATGTAGGTAGGTACATACTTGTAATTTTGATTGACGCTTCACAATATCTAAGACCTAATTCTATTCTGATAAACCGTTATATCTATACTTGATAACTGAAGTATTTTTATGCACATTTCAGCCTTATATAAGTTTTTTATTTAGCATCGACGCTACATTGTAAATTATTCGTTAACACATTTTTTTGAATCCCATTTCTGTAATTTTATAATTTTTCTATTAAAATCTGCATTTTGAGTATCCATAATTTCAGCTGAAAGATTTTTAAACTCGAACACTATTTAATATCATGATTCAAAAAAAAAGCTAATATAATACCGATACATAAATCAGGAACAAAAACAGATGTTAACAACTATAGACCAATATCAATAATATCCAGTGTAGCAAAGGTTTTTGAAAAAGTTTTATCTACTAGAATGATTCGATACCTCACAAAGTTCAAAATTTTAAGTGAAAATCAATATGGATTTACAGAAGGGAAGGCTACATCGGACGCAATAACTAAAATTGTAAATCAAATACATCAAAATATTGATAACAGAATCCCTTCAATCTGCATTTTTGTTGATTTAAAGAAAGCTTTCGACACAGTTAATCACAAATTATTATTAGAAGCATTGGAGAGAATTGGTTTCAGAGGAAACGCGTACTCACTGATCGAAAGTTATTTGTGAAATCGCCCACAATCTGTGCAGATATCAGGATAATTTAGTAAAGAAATGTATATTAAGTGTGGTGTCCCACAAGGAACTGTCTTAGGTCCGCTGTTATTCAATATATATTTAAATGATATTTTCCAAATTAATTGTGTTGGCAAAATAACTAGTTTTGCAGATGATACTGCAATATTATATGAAGGCACTGACTGGTCTGATCTGAAAAATGTAATTGAAAATGATTTTATCAAAATTATTCGGTGGTTTAACAGTAGAAAATTAAGCATTAACTACTCTAAAACACATTTTTTACCATTTGGATCTTATGCTAGACATCTGCCAAATTACACAAATTTCTCCTTCAATATTAATGATCAAAAAATGCAAATTAATAGAGTGCCCAACATAAAATACCTTGGAGTGGTCTTGGATCCTCACTTACGATGGGACATCCATGTCAATTTTATTTTAAAGAAAGTTAGATTTGTATCCTACAAAATTAAATACCTTGGGAATATATTGACAGAAAAATATCTTCGAACATTATACCATGCACTGATTGAGCCTCATCTCACATATGGTATATTAGCATGGGGAGCTGCATGTTCCTCACATATCTATAATTTAGATGTTTTTCAAAAAAGTATTCTAAAAATGATATTTAAAAAACCGAAACTTTATCCCACTGAAAAATTATACGCAGATGTTCGAATGTATGATATAAGACAGCTTTATTTCTTACACAGTATCACTCACTACCATAAATTTGTAAACACCGACCAAAAAATTAAACATAATCATTATACCAGGTACAAAATTCGTGGCACAGTAGTTCCTCAACCGCATAAATCTATAATGCAGCGATCATATCTCTATTTAGCGCCTAAATTTTATGAAATTATACCTAAAGACTTAAAAGATTTACGTTTCGGAAATTGTTTCAAAGGAAATTTAAAAAAGTGGCTACATTCTATATCTAGGACTGAAATTCATAAACTCATAAATACGAACATCAACTAAACACATAATCTACTGTAGCTAATTTTTGTCCTTTTTTGTCATTTGCATTCTACAGTTTCAACTTAAATTTATTGGTCTATGTACAGGCGATGCCTTCTATTGGGCCTGTTTTGATTTTATATTTATTTACTCATATTGTTTGTTATCTTTGTACATTGAGTGAATAAATATTATTATTATTAAAAAAAAAATTATCGAATTGATATACTCACTTTTGAAATACAGATTTGCTACCGGTGGGAACATCTCCTTCATTAGACTTGCGTCTTTCTTTGCAAATTACGTACCACACCACAATTACCTACAAATACTCGCACTTTTAAGAAATAACACTACAAATAAGACCTTAACGACAGAACTGTCAAAAAACTAACAAGTCGCCTTGTAGTATGCACTTTCACTCTAACCACAGGCTGAGATTTTGGAGGCAAAAAAATCGTAGGCTTGCTAAATACACACTAAAGCAAAGCAATACGTCAAAGCGTGCCCAGTGGTAATTCAAGATAATATCTAAACCCGGCAATTCATTTGTCTTTGTTATTTTGATTACTAGGCATTTGGATTATTGATAAAATAATCAGGAGTTCGCATTCAGAAACACGGGAATGTAACGTTTGGGTTGTTCTATAGAGCTTTGTGTATAAGAAGCTTTTTTATTGTTGCACGTCGAGCTGTTATCTGTATAATTTTGATTAAATGAAGCTTTTGTTTAGATAATGGGGTAATTTCACGATACAGAATTGGAATGTTAGCACATCTGACAATATGTGAAAACTCAAAGGTTATCAGAAAAAAGTTCCACTCACGTATTAGCCTAAGAGGCCAAACAAATTTTTGTTCGAATTGAGATACGCATATCCTTTTTTTTTCATTTGGCTCTAACAACTCGAGTAATATTGCGATCAGGGAACGAAAACCTTTGGTCAAACTTTGAATTTGAAAGTTAACAAGGAAACCATATATGGATTCTAAATCCTAATTCTTATTCGACAAATGAAACACTGCTTTATTTGCATCTTATATTTCTTAGATATTTATCATCAAAAAAAAAGTAATAAAAATCGTTTTTGTTCCTCATCAGCAGTGATTAAGCCTGCTCTTTCTGCGGTATCGTTAACTGCTCTCAGTGTTTGCACCTTAGTCTGAGCATGTTGAAAAGAATCATTGTGTGGCCATGAAGTTGGATACTCGTCGAGAAAACTGTCATCAATCTTGCATCGACCGAACTTTTGATGGAAACAAAATCATCACTATTTTTTTCTGAAATGAAAAAACGAAGAATAACTACTATCTAAGCATACTGGTTCTGTCCGTCCGATCACAGATAGTCAACCATCGACAGATATTTTGTGCTTTTTGGCAACGCATCAGCATCGCCTAGGATCAGGACGAGTGAAAGCAACTAACCTCTAACTGAGGCATCATCATCAATCAATCATCATCATCATCATCATGGTCAATCAATAATAATCATCATCAACATCATCATGATCAATCAGTCATCTTCATCATGATCAATCATCATCATCATCATTATCAACATGATCAATCAACCACCATCATCATCAACATCCCCATCATGATCAATCAATCATCACCATGATCACTTAATCATCATCGTCATCATCATCATGATCAATCAGTCATCATCATCATGATCAATCAATCATCATCATCATGGTCAATCAATAATAATAATCATCATCATCATCATTATCATGGTAAATCAGTCATCATCGTCATTATCATCATTATCAACATGATCAATCAACAACCATCATCATCACCAACCACATCATGATCAATCAATCATCATCATCATCATGATCACTTAATCGCCATCGTCATCATCATCATGATCAATCGATCATCATACTCATCATGATCAATCAATCATTATCATCAGGATCAATCAATTAATAATCACCAGCATGATCAATCAATCATCAACATGATTATTCATAATCATGTTCAATCAATCAATCAATCATCATCATGGTCATTCAATAATAATAATCATCATCATCATTATGATAAATCAGTCATTATCATTATCATGATCAATCATCAACATCGTCATCATCATCATTATCAACATGATAAATCAACCACCATCATCATCACCATCTCCATCATGATCAATCAATCATCATCATCATCATGATCACTTGATCATCATCGTCATCATCATCATGATCAATCAGTCATCATCGTCATCATGATCAATCATCATCATCATCATCATGGTCAATCAATAATCTTCATCATCACCATCCCCATCATGATCAATCAATCATCATCATCATCATCATGATCAATCAATCATCATCATCATGATCAATCAATCATCAACATGATTAATCGACATCATGTTCAATCCATCAATAAATCATAATTATCATCATGGTCAATCAATAATAATCATCATCATGATAAATCAGTCATCATCATCATGATCAATCAATCATCATCGTCATCATCATCATTATCAGCATGATAAATTAACCACCATCATCATCACCATCTCCATCATGATCAATCAACCATCATCATAATCATGATCACTTAATCACCATCGTCATCATCATCATCATCATGATTAATCAATCATCATAATCACCATGATCAATCAATCATCATCATCATGATCAATCAATTAATAATCACCATCATGATCAATCGATTAACAACATGATTACTCATAATCATATTCTATCCATCAATCAATCAACATCATCATCTTCATGATCAAATAAATACTATCATCATCATGACCGTCATCATCATCATGATCAATTAATCACCATCCTCATCATCATGATCAATCGATCATCTCATGACCAATCAATCACCATCATCATCATCGTCACCATCACCATCATGATCAGTCAATCATTCATCATCATCATGTCCTGGTTATTTTAACAGTTAGCCTATTATACCGAAGCAGTAGTGATTGAACGTATCTTCTAATTCGGATCGCACTGATAGTTGCTAAGGAGCACGAAACGGCGCTGTCTGCAGTTGGTCATTGGTTACAGAGACTGAAAGCAAACATTTTCATTTCAACCGCGATATCTCTCATCCGAATTCCGTCGCTTAATCATAAGTTTGCGTTTATACTCGTATCGTAATTTTTTGATGCATTTTTCGAAGTAGCAATCAGCAAAAAGCTTTTACTCGCTCGGAATTTCCACGCAACCGTTCTCTTCGTTACTAATCCAGGTCAAGTTTCACGTTCACCTGTTTCTCATTTTGTTTTTAAATTAAAAGTTACAAAAGGGGGTTGCAGCGCTCTCAACTGCAGCTGCACTGAGCGAGCGTCCAGAAGTTTCCAGTTTCCAGGTTCATCGCGATCCGCATCAACGTCTCACATCTAAATTATGCATTCAAGAGGATCTTCAACTCATTAGTCTTACGCTTGGAAGTTTGACGATAGAACGCTGATTACTCGTAAAGAGATAGTGATAACAGGTCTGGGTTAGGCTGTTCACAGATATAAAGCAGCATCGATTTTTTGATATTCCCCATGTTTCAGAGTTTTCCGTGATATCAGAACACTAGACCACTTTTTCGCGTTGTTTTTTCGATTCTGAAATGGTACTCACGCGCACACCCGAATCACCTCTAACTAAACGTCTGATTGTCTCTAGTTTCTGTTCTACGGTAATAACAGCGCGTTTACGTTTATTTCTATGCTGCTCCATCTTAGCGATTATGAATCTGACTGAAACAAACATACACGCACACATACCAGTCGATTCCGCAAACGCGCCTGGGGAATCACCGGCAGCGAATCTAATGACGTCACTTTTTTCCAGATCCGCCGATCACTTCACACCTCGAAGAAGCCGTAAAGCGACAAGCGCCGATATCGCAGCAGCAACATGAGAACCGAACAATCGAAGTCAAGCCGGGGCCAGCCTGCGAAGCATTGATAGTAGCGAAGCTGCGAAGGGGAGACTGAGAGATAGCTGCATCTGAAGCCGGCTGCGAAATGCTGCCGACGCCGCCGTTGCTGCTTGCATTGTTTTCTTGCTGCCGACCATCGGAATAATAGTCAGCACACGCCAGCACGGAGATGGCAGATAGGGACCCATTCGACGACGAGGTATGTTGAATTCGATCAGTCTTGGTTTACAGGATGCTGTATGCTGCAAGTTTCTGTCCTCCATCTGAATCCAGAATACTACCCTATCTATTCACATATGACGAGTTTCTGGTTTTGATCAACATAAAACTTAAGAGCAATCCTTCTATAGGCGCTGGTTGTATTCCGGGGTTCGTTGTAAAGAAAGTGCTACCATGCATCACAGTGAACGACGTCATAATTTCGGCATCTTTAGGGCATTAATGACGTACGTCCACAAACAAACATGACGTAGAAATGACGTCATTGCAACGGCGGATCCAGGGTTTGTGTTTGGGGGGGGGGGGTCACACTGGTCAAAAAACTACATGTTCAGGAAGATGTTCTTCTCGTCTTCGGGGGGGTTGACATCAGTGCCTCCGACATAAAAAAAATTTGACTGGCGGACGGATGGCAGATGACAACCCTACCCTTTTGTACCCTTAGGGTACGAGGGATGTCTTTTAAGTTTTGCATATGGAAATAAAACAACACGGTAGGTAGTTTTAAATGACTTTATTGTTATTCGAAGTATTCTCCACGAAGATTAATACACATCTGCATGGCTTTCGATGATCAGGGTCTGGCGCTGGATGGTTCCGTCCTTTTCGTCTGCTACAGCTGGTGTCATCAATTCCTTTGATTTCATGGTCTCAGTCGGCTCCTTTATTTGCTGGGCCTGGCTTTCGATGATCAGGGTCTGGCGCTGGATGGTTCCGTCCTTTTCGTCTGCTACAGCTGGTGTCATCAATTCCTTTGATTTCATGTTCTCAGTCAGCTCCTTTATTTGCTGGGCCTGGCTTTCGATGACCAGGGTCTGGCGCTGGATGGTTCCGTCCTTTTCGTCTGCTGCAGCTGGTGTCATCAATTCCTTTGATTTCATGGTCTCAGTCAGCTCCTTTATTTGCTGGGCCTGGCTTTTGATGATCAGGGTCTGGCGCTGGATGGTTCCGTCCTTTTCGTCTGATACAGCTGCTGTCATCAATTCCTTTGATTTCATGGTCTCAGTCAGCTCCTTTATTTGCTGGGCCTGGCTTTCGATGATCAGGGTCTGGCGCTGGATGGTTCCGTCCTTTTCGTCTGCTACAGCTGCTGTCATCAATTCCTTTGATTTCATGGTCTCAGTCAGCTCCTTTATTTGCTGGGCATGGCTTTCGATGATCAGGGTCTTAGGCTGGATGGTTCCGTCCTTTTCGTCTGCTACAGCTGCTGTCATCAATTCCTTTGATTCCGTGGTCTCAGTCAGCTCCTTTATTTGCTGGGCCTGGCTTTCGATGATCAGGGTCTGGCGCTGGATGGTTCCGTCCTTTTCGTCTGCTACAGCTGGTGTCATCGATTCCTTTGATTTCATGGTCTCTGTCAGCTCCTTTATTTGCTGGGCCTGGCTTTCGATGATCAGGGTCTGGCGCTGGATGGTTCCGTCCTTTTCGTCTGCTACAGCTGGTGTCATCAATTCCTTTGATTTCATGGTCTCAGTCAGCTCCTTTATTTGCTGGGCCTGGCTTTCGATGATCAGGGTCTGGCGCTGGATGGTTCCGTCCTTTTCGTCTGCTACAGCTGCTGTCATCAATTCCTTTGATTCCATGGTCTCAGTCAGCTCCTTTTTTTGCTGGGCCTGGCTTTCGATGATCAGGGTCTGGCGCTGGATGGTTCCGTCCTTTTCGTCTGCTACAGCTGCTGTCATCAATTCCTTTGGTTTCATGGTCTCAGTCAGCTCCTTTATTTGCTGGGCGTGGCTTTCGATGATCAGGGTCTGGCGCTGGATGGTTCCGTCCTTTTCGTCTGCTACAGCTGCTGTCATCAATTCCTTTGATTTCATGGTCTCAGTCAGCTCCTTTATTTGCTGGGCATGGCTTTCGATGATCAGGGTCTTAGGCTGGATGGTTCCGTCCTTTTCGTCTGCTACAGCTGCTGTCATCAATTCCTTTGATTCCGTGGTCTCAGTCAGCTCCTTTATTTGCTGGGCCTGGCTTTCGATGATCAGGGTCTGGCGCTGGATGGTTCCGTCCTTTTCGTCTGCTACAGCTGGTGTCATCGATTCCTTTGATTTCATGGTCTCTGTCAGCTCCTTTATTTGCTGGGCCTGGCTTTCGATGATCAGGGTCTGGCGCTGGATGGTTCCGTCCTTTTCGTCTGCTACAGCTGGTGTCATCAATTCCTTTGATTTCATGGTCTCAGTCAGCTCCTTTATTTGCTGGGCCTGGCTTTCGATGATCAGGGTCTGGCGCTGGATGGTTCCGTCCTTTTCGTCTGCTACAGCTGCTGTCATCAATTCCTTTGATTCCATGGTCTCAGTCAGCTCCTTTTTTTGCTGGGCCTGGCTTTCGATGATCAGGGTCTGGCGCTGGATGGTTCCGTCCTTTTCGTCTGCTACAGCTGCTGTCATAAATTCCTTTATTTCATGGTCTCAGTCAGCTCCTTTATTTGCTGGGCCTGGCTTGCGATGATCAGGGTCTGACGCTGGATGGTTCCGTCCTTTTCGTCTGCTACAGCTGATGTCATCAATTCCTTTGATTTCATGGTCTCAGTCAGCTCCTTTATTTGCTGGGCCTGGCTTTCGATGATCAGGGTCTGGCGCTGGATGGTTCCGTCCTTTTCGTCTGCTACAGCTGCTGTCATCAATTCCTTTGATTTCATGGTCTCAGTCAGCTCCTTTATTTGCTGGGCCTGGCTTTCGATGATCAGGGTCTGGCGCTGGATGGTTCCGTCCTTTCCGTCTGCTATAGCTGCTATCATCAATTCCTTTGATTTCATGGTCTCAGTCAGCTCCTTTATTTGCTGGGCCTGGCTTTCGATGATCAGGGTCTGGCGCTGGATGGTTCAGTCCTTTTCGTCTGCTACAGCTGCTGTCATCAATTCCTTTGATTTCATGGTCTCAGTCAGCCCCTTTATTTGCTGGGCCTGGCTTTCGATGATCAGGGTCTGGCACTGGATGGTTCCGTCCTTTTCGTCTGCTACAGCTGCTGTCATCAATTCCTTTGATTTCATGGTCTCAGTCAGCTCCTTTATTTGCTGGTCCTGGTTTTCGATGATCAGGGTCTGGCGCTGGATGGTTCCGTTCTTTTCGTCTGCTACAGCTGCTGTCATCAATTCCTTTGATTTCCTGGTCTTAGTCAGCTCCTTTATTTGCCTGGCCTGGCTTTCGATGATCAGGGTCTGGCGCTGGATGGTTCCGTTCTTTTCGTCTGCTACAGCTGGTGTCATCAATTCCTTTGATTTCATGGTCTCAGTCAGCTCCTTTATTTGCTGGGCCTGGCTTTCGATGGTCAGGGTCTGGCGCTGGATGGTTCCGTCCTTTTCGTCTGCTACAGCTGCTGTCATCAATTCCTTTGATTTCATGGTCTCAGTCAGCTCCTTTTTTTGCTGGGCCTGGCTTTCGATGATCAGGGTCTGGCGCTGGATGGTTCCGTCCTTTTCGTCTGCTACAGCTGCTGTCATCAATTCCTTTGATTTCATGGTCTCAGTCAGCTCCTTTATTTGCTGGGCCTGGCTTTCGATGATCAGGGTCTGGCGCTGGATGGTTCCGTCCTTTTCGTCTGCTACAGCTGCTGTCATCAATTCCTTTGATTTCATGGTCTCAGTCAGCTCCTTTATTTGCTGGGCCTGGCTTTCGATGATCAGGGTCTGGCGCTGGATGGTTCCGTCCTTTTCGTCTGCTACAGCTGGTGTCATCAATTCCTTTGATTTCATGGTCTCAGTCAGCTCCTTTATTTGCTGGGCCTGGCTTTCGATGATCAGGGTCTGGCGCTGGATGGTTCCGTCCTTTCCGTCTGCTATAGCTGCTATCATCAATTCCTTTGATTTCATGGTCTCAGTCAGCTCCTTTATTTGCTGGGCCTGGCTTTCGATGATCAGGGTCTGGCGCTGGATGGTTCAGTCCTTTTCGTCTGCTACAGCTGCTGTCATCAATTCCTTTGATTTCATGGTCTCAGTCAGCCCCTTTATTTGCTGGGCCTGGCTTTCGATGATCAGGGTCTGGCACTGGATGGTTCCGTCCTTTTCGTCTGCTACAGCTGCTGTCATCAATTCCTTTGATTTCATGGTCTCAGTCAGCTCCTTTATTTGCTGGTCCTGGTTTTCGATGATCAGGGTCTGGCGCTGGATGGTTCCGTTCTTTTCGTCTGCTACAGCTGCTGTCATCAATTCCTTTGATTTCCTGGTCTTAGTCAGCTCCTTTATTTGCCTGGCCTGGCTTTCGATGATCAGGGTCTGGCGCTGGATGGTTCCGTTCTTTTCGTCTGCTACAGCTGGTGTCATCAATTCCTTTGATTTCATGGTCTCAGTCAGCTCCTTTATTTGCTGGGCCTGGCTTTCGATGGTCAGGGTCTGGCGCTGGATGGTTCCGTCCTTCTCGTCTGCTACAGCTGCTGTCATCAATTCCTTTGATTTCATGGTCTCAGTCAGCTCCTTTTTTTGCTGGGCCTGGCTTTCGATGATCAGGGTCTGGCGCTGGATGGTTCCGTCCTTTTCGTCTGCTACAGCTGCTGTCATCAATTCCTTTGATTTCATGGTCTCAGTCAGCTCCTTTATTTGCTGGGCCTGGCTTTCGATGATCAGGGTCTGGCGCTGGATGGTTCCGTGCTTTTCGTCTGCTACAGCTGGTGTCATCAATTCCTTTGATTTCATGGTCTCAGTCAGCTCCTTTATTTGCTGGGCCTGGCTTTCGATGATCAGGGTCTGGCGCTGGATGGTTCCGTCCTTTTCGTCTGCTACAGCTGCTGTCATCAATTCCTTTGATTTCCTGGTCTTAGTCAGCTCCTTTATTTGCCTGGCCTGGCTTTCGATGATCAGGGTCTGGCGCTGGATGGTTCCGTCCTTTTCGTCTGCTACAGCTGCTGTCATCAATTCCTTTGATTTCATGGTCTCAGTCAGCACCTTTATTTGCTGGGCCTGGCTTTCGATGATCAGGGTCTGGCGCTGGATGGTTCCGTGCTTTTCGTCTGCTACAGCTGGTGTCATCAATTCCTTTGATTTCATGGTCT